CCCCCCCCCCCCCCCGGCTTTGGAGATTATTTCCATTCTTTTAGCAGACAAAAAATTCATAATAATTTCCACGTCTGACTATTTTTACATAATCTTTCAAATAATCAAGTAAGATTACTTACAGTTATAGGAGAAAGTTTGTATTACGATGATTTGGATATAGGTTATAGCAGATGTCAGTTTTACCAAAAAGCTGAATTTAACATTTCAAGTATATATTTCCAAAGCATAAATCTGATATTGACTCATTCATCCCAGCTAAGTTAGATCTTAGCTCCATGTTTATTGTACAAAATAAATGCACCTTCTCTGGCTATAATTCTTTCTTTTTTTGAAAATGCATAAATACATATATCCAAAACAATAAATATTCATGCTTCCTTTGTTTATAATCAAGACTAAAGTTCAACTAAAGGCTGCAATGAGATATTAATTCAGGATAATTGGGGAAATGCATGAGAAGAAAGAGATGAGTTTTCAGAAAATTAAGCGGGTGGTCACAATTACATAATTAATGCCCTATTCCTTTGTTACATAAAGTATGTGTGCACAACATATAATAGAAAATTGTAAATTGTCAACTCCTGATTAGTACTTGTTTGTTAAAAACAATTATCTGGTCTCTAAAAAAAATGCCAAATAACCATCAAACATGTCAAGCATGGAAAAACTCACACTTAGTATACACCCTGTTTATCGTGCCTCTGCTTGTCTATACCATTTCTAAGAACATTTGGAATGAGACTGAGATGTTTTTCAAGCAGATTCAAAAGATGGCCATGCAAAAGAGTTTCCAGTAGATTCCATTGCATGCATAACTGTAATCTCATTTAACTAAAAGTTTATTGATCTCCAAAGAAAGTATTTTGGCAATCAGCTGAGCTTTTTTTGTGGATAAACTAGCCTACAGAGTTTTTTTAAAAGGGCTTTAGATACTTGTTAGGCAAACTCACTGACCGGCATTAGGCTATTAGGTTAGCGTGCATTCTATATTATTTTGGTTCAGGGAGTGCATTTTATGTATTTAAACAAACAAGCAAACTGACCACGTTAAACATAAATCTGAAGCTACTTAAGACTGTTCTATATAGATCAATTCCAGTTGCACTTGAGATTTAAGTGAAAGAGTGAGATATACCGTAATTATAGTTCTGATTAAGTGGTATTGAGCTTAGAGGCAGAAGACGGAAGAACTGATTATTCCTTTGGCATTCTTGATTTTACTAGTTCGACTTAAAGAAACCCAAGTTGCCACATTAGTGAAACTATGTTTGTGATTTAAAAGGGCAATTGTTAGTCTGACTTCAGTTCTTACTGAAAATGTTTCCTCAATCTTCCTAAAATATTGCGCATATGTTAGAATTTTATAGCTGTGTAGGTTACCAGCCCTCAATTCTCTGTGTTTCCTATGTTTTTGCCGTATAGTGGATTAATGGGGAAGCTAAACATTAGAAGCGAGCAGCCATCAGCAAATGCAAGATCCTAATTAGTTTAGCTGACGAGGGCCTCTGATAGCGCTTACATCTGGATGGAAAAATTACCCTATAGGGAACTGGCTGATCACCAGGTCTTTTTAGTGATACATTGCGAAACACCCGATGAATCAAATGCCCTTTCTATGCCAAGAAAGTGTTCCATGCTCCAAGCCAAAATTATGTCTGCAAAAAGCTTTCCATTTGAAAAGTATCAGAGTACAATTATAACCATTGTACTTTCTTGGCACCACCATTCCTTCCCTACAGTATGGAGTAAAATTAAACGAATTGCTTAAATTTGAGGAAGCCTTGAAATTTTGATTTACAAGGTTAGTAATTTTTTAATTTAGAACGAAAATCAGTTTAAGCTTTTTTACTGAAATGGTTCGCCCTTCCACAGTTGTGCAAAACTCTTAATAAATGTTTATATATTTTTGGAAAAAAAAACTTGAAAAGTCTTGCTTTCCTTAAAAGAGGGAGAAATAGCCACATCATAATTATTAACAGTTATGTCTGTAAAGTCAGCCTGTTATGCTTTATTTTGCTGTGTTCTTCTTCTTTGAAACTCTCTTAACCAGAATGAACTATATCTTCATACAATGGAAGAAATTTAACCCATCTTTCTCAGTTGCAGGATTAAGAAAGCTGTGGAATTCAATCACACCCTCATTTGTGTTCACTTTGCATTCCTAAAAGTATGCTTTACACCATCTGCTGATGAGAGAACATCATGTAGTTTTATTACCAAAGTAGAGCTTTATATACACCTTCATAGTACTGAATTTGAGCTATGCTTTCAGTGGGCCTTAGGAAATAAAAAGCAGCATATGTGACTTTTATAATTACGTTAGCCTGTAATTTAACACTTTGCATCTTGTTAAAGAGATAGAAAGACTTTCTAAGAACCAAAATAAGGCTACATGTAAAGTGAAATTAATTGGAAAGATTTTTATTTATGTTTTAGGTGTGTTGTTAATGATTACACCATTAAAATAACTCAAAATCTGGGGAAAAAATACCTAAGAGGAACTCCCAAAAGAATCTTAAAATTCAGGGCACCAAATTTGTTCATTAAAAGGCACATATTCAGTAATTTACCAAGTTAAAACTTTAGAGGAAAACAAAAGTATTTGTGTTTTACATACTTGATCCATTACTGCAGGGTAAATTGTCATGGAAATTAGCATTAGGTGCAGTGCAGTGTGATTTTTTATACTATCAAGCTACATAGAAAACTGTTGTGTACATTTATCATCTTTACAGATCACATGACTAACCTTTGACATTTTTTTCTTTCTTTTTTCTGTCCCCAATTTTAGAGACGTAGAGGCTCGGGTGTTTTTTGTGCCAATTGCCTGACCACAAAGACCTCACTCTGGCGAAAGAACGCAAATGGAGGATATGTCTGCAATGCGTGTGGTCTCTACCAGAAGCTTCATTCGGTAGGAAGAACTTGCTTGTTTTATATTGGGAAGGTTTTCAGCAACTCAGCTGAAATTGGGCAGCTGTGGTTAATTTCCTAACTGCACATTTTCTTCAGTGTGGTCACTCCAGAATCAGATGTGATTCATTATGGAAGATGCTGATATGCCATAGAGAGGAGAATCAGTGTTGGAGATGCCCAACAAGGCATTTATTTACTTTGAGACAAAACAAAGCATAAAAATGGAGCTATTTCCTTCATTCACACAAGAAGTGCACAGAATTATGTCAAAAAAGAACATTTCAAGACAGAGAAGCTAGTAGTGCAGCTTGAGCTTATGACAAGTTCAGTTCCTAATATCTCCAGGTTGATTTGGAAGCCTAGAAACAGACAACCAATCATATAGAAAGTACTAAGCTTAGAAGGAAGAACATTCTAACTCTAATGCAAAATAGCTTCTTATACCTCTAATTGAAAGGAACTATATAAGAAAACATAAATATGCATGTTCTGAAGACTACTTAATTTCTCCCTCTATTCCCAGAATACCCTCAAGTCTTGCTGAGCTCCTTATCATAGTGGGGTGGGGTGGGTTGATTCCTGGGAGGGTTGAGTATGCCAGGAATGTATGCCAAGGTTGTACACCCCCAGGATACTCCCAGAAAGGTCACCCAAGCTATGATGACCATCGCAGTTCATTATGGATAAAATTTATCTATATGGTTGCTAAGAGTGACATTGACTTGAAGGTAGTTAATTAATCAGTCAATCTCCCAGGTGATCTGAAAGAGAGAAAGAAATAGCACTATATTGACCAGTCTTTACCCTTGGTTTCCTAAGCAATGTACAGTATGCATCCTGAGGGTTAACTATATAAATAGTTAAATAGATGAACATGAATTATATATAATGTGTTAATTCTAAAATGGATACATATATCGTTTGGTGGATGTCCCTACCTGTTTTCTGATTAAACATCTAAATAGTACCAAGACTTTGCAAGATTTCCTTTCCTGTTAGCCTTACATTTATTCTTATGAAACCACTCTGTAAATTTAGACAATCCATGCTGATCTTCAACTTATTTCAGCCTATTTTTGCAGCCGTATATTGAATAAGCTTGTCTAAGTTTGGTTGCTGCTGATGGCATCATTATGCCATCATTATCATCATTATGTTAATGGATCTGAGCCCTGGCTTAAAATCAGAAAAGCAGGAAAACCTTCAGGAAGTTTTCTGTTTCTGATTTAAATTGATCTGATTCTTCTATAAAGGATATGGTTGAATTCATAGGAATCTTCAGCTATTAGCTGACTTAAACTAGTGTTTCTCAACCTTAGCAACTGAGGAAAACTGGCTTAAAGTAATCTAGCGATCAACATTCACTTTTTTTACTAGTTTTCACACTTTGTGAAGGTTCCATTCATTTATTTTTAAAAGGTCTTGGCTTATTTCAGTTGTGATACTGTGTCATACATTAGCTAAAATGGAAAATTATATCTAATTAACCTCAAATGGATTGGACTGCAACATGTAAAGAGGAAAAAAGAGCCAAATAAAGAGCACACAGCTCATTTATATTTTGATTTACCATGTTTGTTTCTTTGTTTGTTTGTTTGAATTGGGCCAGAAGGTTGTATCCATTAAACAAAATTTATATGGCTGCCAAACTCATACACAGTGACTTCAGGTAGCTTAAAAAAAATTAAAAAAATAAAATAAAAAGCATAAAACCCATACAATCCCACCTCTCCTGTATCCCTGTATTGGCAACTACCAACCACTTGAATGGCTCTGAATCAGTTTAGGGTTCCCCAGGCCTGCAGATAGAACCACAATGTAGGGTCTTCTGGAAAAGGTGGGGACCAATCTTATCTCCAAAGAATAATATTCCATAACTAGGTGATAGCCAGATCCTGAAGTAGTTCTGCCAGATGTATTTTCCTAATAGATGGAACCTATAACATGTAAATGTGGTTAACTTAATGCAATAACGTTTTGCTTGTCAACTGAAGGTTCCTTTTTAAAAAAAAAATTTGGGGAGTGGTGGTAAAAAATATAGAATTGCTAATAACTACTAGAATAATTTTCTTTGGCATGGGCCTCTGTTGGAGGAGGTAAGAGAAACAAATGACAACATTATCATCCAAACACTGTGATTTACATACTTATGACAAATGTCATGACTCATGAATCATTTGTGTAATGACATCATCACTCATATGTCATTATTTTGGCATCATTGCAATTTGCTATGGATGGCAGCTAGGGATTTTTAAAAGCTGGCTTAAAGGGAATCAATTATTAATGTCAATGCTAATAGGTAGTAAGTTGTAGCTACATTTATTTTTGTTAGTACAGAGCTAAGATAAAACCATTTCAAATACTAGTCTTGAAACAAGCTACTAAGTTCCTAGTTGATGCAAGCTAATGTTTAATGAATTTAATTTTACCCAAAACAAAGGGCAAAGGTGTTGCTAAACATTAAGTTTGCTACATAGTTTGCAACAGAAAGAAAGTCGATGTAATTGAATGTAAATTCTAGAGGTTTCTTCATTTAAAAAGTATTAAGAATGTATATCCAATAGATCAGGGGTGTCAAACTCGCAACATCACGTGACGTGTCGCAACTTATCATCACTTTTTTTCCATTGCCGGCAATGGGGTGGGTGCAGTTTCGGCATGACGCATCCGGCCTATAGGCTGGCAGTTTGACACCCCTGCAATAGAAGAATTTATACCCCAGTAAATAGGGACAGGACTCTTGGAGACAGTGGAGGACAGGGGGGGTTGGCATGCTGTGGTTTATGGGGTTGCAACACGGCTTAGCAATTGAACAACAACAGCAAATAGGGACAGAGCTTATTTTCAGGGGAAAAAACAATAGAAATTAAAAGGTTCAACTGCTACTCTCTGTTTTTCTATTTTATTTGGTTTTGTCTAATGCAATGGGACGTCCCATCCTTTCTGAGCATCCATCAGGATTCCCCCCCCCCCAAAAAAAAATATCTTCTGTGATGTGCGTAGGCAGGTTTTGGACCTGATTATGGAGTCATGACTGGGGTGCCAGGGAAAAATGAGAACAGCAAATCCCTGCTGTAGAAACAGAAACAAACTTTGGCAACATTGGAAGAATCCTTTATTCATATTCATGGATTTCAAACTTGAATGTTAATATGAATGTTACCATGTTGCCACCTCTTTTTGCCTAGAGAGAATCAAACAAACAATACTTTCCATAAGGAACATATGTTTACCTCTTCTCTGGGGCTTTCAAGGCATTGCCCCGTGTGTTGGCTTCTGTAGCAATTGACGCTGGTCAGACCATTCTTAGCACCACATGTTTCTTCTGGGGAGGAGGTTGCTGAGGGGCAGGATGGGAATGTCACGATGTCACTGGAGAGTCAAGGGTAGGATTTTCAGCTCTCTTTCTGTAGGTTTTAGTACTTTATTCCATAATACCTACATTAAATCTGTCCAAATTTTTATTTTTATTTATTTATTTTTAGTTCCCAGCCAAATTTACTGAACCAGGGATTGGGGAAGAGGAAAGAAGAGAATTGCCTGAATTTTCAGGGTTATTTTTCTTTGGAGGTTTTCACAACTCTTGATATGAGGTGCAACACTCCACCCTGCCATTTCCCTCCCATTTATTTTGATGATAATCAACCATCCTTCTCGTGAATGTGTTTTGGACAGATTATCCATACCCCAGGGAAAAAAAAAGGGAGGTGACCCCTTCCAAGGAGCGTTGCTGTTGATGGATCTGTCTGTGTTCAACTCACATAATTGAAGTTTAAGACTATTGGCCTTGCCATGTTTTCCTCATCGTGGTCTCAGTGTGTTACTTATACAGAGAGCCCCAGATCAGCATTTAACTAAGATAGTTAGTTTCATCAGGAAGGAAGGTCTCTGTTGCACGTGTACTTGAGCACAGTTCTCTCAGTCTCTTTTCAGAGTTCACAGAAACAATACAGGTAGTCTTTGACTTCTGCCCACAATTGAGCCCAAAATTTCCGTTGCTAAGCGAGACATTTTATTAAGTGAGGTTTGTCCCATTTTATGACCTTTCTTGCCACAGTTGTTAAATGAATCACTGCAGTTGTTAATAACACAGTTGTTAGGTGAATCTGGCTTCCCCACTGACTTTGCTTGTCAGAAGATCGCAAAAGGTGATCACATGACCCCAGGACACTGCAACCATGGATGACTTGGTCCTTTGTCTCAATTTGCAAAAACCTCATTTGCAAAGAACCAGAACATTCCAGTTTGCCTTCTATCCTTCCCTCTCTTCATTAGGAGGAGGACTTCCAGCCTTTTTGGACAACCATTTGTGTGAAATAGTATAGGGCTTCCTGCTTGAGCAAGGGATTGGACTAGAAGACCTCCAAAGTCCCTTCCAACTTTGGTATTCTGTTATTCTTTCTATTACAATAGCAACAAAATAATAGCTTTGTTTACTAAGCTTCAGATACATCTTTTGCAGCCCTGGGTCTTCTTTAAATGCAGAAAACCAGGCAAAATTTTTCCTATAGTCAGATAATCCTTGGAGTTGTACTAATCATGACATCTTTCTTCCTCTAATGTGAAAATTTGCTACTCCCCCTGTGTGTGATGCGGAGACTATGATAAGCAAAAACATGAGAACAGGACACTTATTATGACTGCATCTTTGAATGTGATTGCCTGTACATTTACACAAAACACCTTCTTTCTCTCCTATATGTCCCAGTGCATATTGTGTTATGCCAATGTAATTCTGCAGATGGGTAGCAAGGTCTGCTTCATATCTCTAAGAATTGTATCCTAGACTGATAAGAGATTCAACAGAATGTTATGTAAATAGCCAGCTGTGAAGTCTCACTGACATCTGTCAGAAGGCCATTAGAAAAACAATCAGAAAGTTTCTGCTGTAATGTACAAAGGGATATACCATGTTTCCCCAAAGTAAGACCCAGTCTTACTTTTTGGGGGGCTCTGAAGTAAGCACTAGGTTTTACTTTCGGGGAGGGCTTACTTTTTGCCAGTACCGGTACCAGTAGGTCGCGAACGCGCGGGGGTGGTGCCTTACCACTTTCAAGGTTGCTATATGAAGATAATGACATTCACTTTGATGCCAACTAAAGGGATTCAAAGTGTAACACGTGACATGTTTTAATTATTCAAAATTAGGGAGTCAGCTTCCTGTGCTTCACTGCCCTTGCATCTTCCTTCCAAATAAAGCCTTTCTTAAAACCCCTGAATGGCTTGGTTGGACTGAACTGAACTCTTAAGTATATCAGGGGATTTGCATGAACAGTTTTGCAAAGCTTTGCTTAGCATTGCTCTTTTTATTGATGATGATGTTATTGTGTTTTATATGCAGACTCCCAGGCCTTTAAACATCATTAAGCAGAACAACGGTGAGCAGATCATTAGGCGACGGACAAGAAAACGCCTTAACCCAGAGGCACTTCAGGCTGAGCAGCTAAACAAACAACAGAGAGGGAACAGCGAGGAACAGGTCAACGGCAGCCCATTAGACAGGAGGTCAGAAGATCATTTAACAGAAGGTCATCAGAGAGAAATCCAGCTTCCCAGCCTAAGTAAATATGAAGCCCAGGGTTCATTGACTAAAAGCCATTCCGCTCCTCAGTCAATACTGGTTGGCCAATCTCTGGATATTCATAAAAGGATGCAACCTTTGCACATTCAGATAAAAAGTCCTCAGGAAAGTTCTGGAGACCCAGGCAATAGTTCCTCCATATCAGAAGGAAAAGGAAGCTCAGAGAGAGGCAGTCCAATAGAGAAATACATGAGACCTGCTAAACACCTAAACTATTCACCACCTGGAAGTCCGATTGAGAAGTACCAGTACCCACTTTTTGGACTTCCGTTTGTACACAATGAGTTTCAAAGTGAAGCTGATTGGCTGAGATTCTGGAGTAAATATAAGCTTTCCGTTCCTGGGAATCCACACTACTTGAGTCATGTGCCTGGCCTACCAAATCCTTGCCAAAACTATGTGCCTTATCCCACCTTTAATCTGCCTCCTCATTTTTCAGCTGTTGGATCTGACAATGACATTCCTCTAGATTTGGCGATAAAACATTCCAGACCTGGGGCGACTGCAAATGGTGCCTCTAAGGAGAAAGCTAAGACAGCATCAAATGTAAAAAATGAAGGTTCCTTGAATGTAGTTAAAACCGAGAAAGTTGACCGAAGTACTCAAGATGATCTATCAACCAAGTGTGTGCACTGTGGCATTGTCTTTCTGGATGAAGTGATGTATGCCTTGCATATGAGTTGCCATGGTGACAGTGGACCTTTTCAATGCAGCATATGCCAATATTTTTGCACGGACAAGTATGACTTCACCACTCACATCCAGAGGGGCCTACATAAGAACAATGCACAAGCGGAAACGAATGGCAAACCGAAAGAGTAAAATTAAATAAAATAAATAAAATAAAAACCTTAGCACTTAGCACAATTAAACAGAAATAGGTTTCCTTGATGGGAATTCAATAGCTTGTAATGTCTTAAGCACTTCATATAGCAAGCATGCCTTATCCAATATACAATCTTTTATTCTTCCCTCCTTTTGCTTCATACAAGCAAACTAAAAGTTCTTAAGAAAGACAATTATTAAAAAAAAGGATGGCAGCTGGAATGGGGGAGGGGTAAGGAATCAATCACTCGGGACCCATCCTGCAAAATATATATATATATAAATAAGAAAGAAAGAAAGAAATCTATACAAAAGACACTATATCAGGGAAGGTCTCTTTGCAAAACTTAACCAGACAAATAATGCTTTTGTTCCTGTACAAGAAACATAGCTGGCTAGAATGCAAAGATGTATAATGCTGAAGCAGGTGTACAGTACACATATGCACATTGTATAGTGAAATGGACTTGTTAAATAAACTGATGCCCAGAAATCTAGTAGTATTTTTTTTTCTCCATTTGGGTTCACTTTGGCCTTATTAGAACATCCTCCTGCAACAGCATTTCTACAATCTGGAGGCAGTAGGGCTTCTTTTTTTTGGTTTGGTTTGGTTTTATTTTGTTTTTGTTTTTTCAGTTGTCTCTTGTCTAAGCCAGTGGGTAGCTGTTGTTGGATCCCTACCGCAGAGCTCTTCAATCTTTTTGAGGTCTAGAGCAGCAGGAGCACTCCTTACGCAATAGATTGCAGACCAGGAACATTCATGCTCAGCTACATCTGTTCCTTCCCTTTCACTCTGAAATCTCAGGAAAGATGGAAGTAAAATTACGGGAGCCTCAGAATATGACCTTTTATGCCAAGAAGACCTTCATTCCAGGCTGCTTCTTAAATTTTTAACGGTGGTGAGAAAGCCCTTTATAAGAGAGATTCACTGAAATTCAGCTCACAAGCCAATCTGGGGATTGCAAACTACGTCTCAGGAGATTGTGGATGTAAGATGCTTTGGCCAAAATATAGGAAAAGTACTCTGTTTTCTGACTTCTCTCTTATTTGAAAGCTACTTTATGGACTTGATATTCATAGTATTAATGTTTGACTAACTGTTCTCTCAATTTTGCTTCAGGTAGTGTGTGGGACTGACTTTTCCCGGAAGTCCTTAGATTGTTTATATGCAGTGGTCAATTGCTTCACGAGACTTAACTCCAGCTTTTGGTAGTGTTTGCCTTCATGGCCAATCTTATTTTTAATATTTTTGAGAGCAAGATAATAATGACGATAATAATAATAATAAACCTTTTGTAAAATTATTCCATGAAGGGAAAGCTCCTCAGCATAACTGCTCAGGGAAATAGGGCTAAATAACTAAATATTCAGTCATTGGTTCAAGGTGCTGTTAGACAAACCTACACAGATGTTGCAAGAATCTACAAAGGGTGGACTTCAATTCAGTTTCACTATCTTGGCCCAGGCAGTCCTCTTGTTGTTGTTGTGTTGTTGTTGTTGTTCTTATTTTCTTAAAGGGATATACAAGAGATATTACAAGCTACTGGATGTACTGTCAGATTAACTTATTTCATTTAAGAAGTTGGGAGAACAAATAGGAAAAAAACTTATTTTTCTAGTAAATATTAATGTATTACATTTCAAATAATGGTGCCTGACATATTGAATAATTATTTTCTACAGTGTACGTATGCAACAAAGATATTCCATCATGCATAAGATTCAGCGCTGGCTCAGCCTCGCTCTGTTTACATTTGCAAATGTAGCAAACAAGGTAATGAAGCAACTTTCTATTGCAGTAGGTATCTTTGATTTGTGCGCGTGTGTGTGTGCATTAAAATTGTAAACGGTAACATGAAATGAATGGACTTTGTTGATAATAATGATATTTGGGGAGAAGAAGAAGAAGAAGACGAAGAAGGAAATGAAAATATTTTTATGCCTACTTAGGAGGAAGAAAAAGAGTAGCACTATTCATTCCAAGTACTTTTTGTATTCTTAAGCTCTTAACTCACATTGTTATGCTTAAAATGATAAACATATATCCTCTTTTTATTGCTTTGTCTATGTTTCAGCTGAAACATTTCAGAGATTATGTCAAGAGGTGCCATCTGACTCCTTGGCACACAAGTTTCTAATTGCATTCTGTACTAGCATTGCACTCCATTTTTACCATATTACACCATCGCTTCCATGTTTTCTTGTTTTGTTGCGCTGGGGCTTTATTTTATTTTTTTTTGCATTGCACAGTCTTAGTCTCTTGCGGTTGTGGAGTATAATTGGTTCCTAAATGTCACTGCGAATGAAGATTAAAATGTATGATATTCCATTCTTCTTTCCCACCCCTCTCTTTATTTTTGGAATTTTTTCTAGGGGTTTCCAGGGTAGATCTCCAAGATAGGATATTATGTCGAAGATCCTTCTTCTGAGCACACACCCCCCATGCTATTATTCTCAATTAAAACTACCCTTAAAATGATTTAGATTCATCATTTCCTAATCTAGAAAATGAGCATTTAAATTTATATGGCAAGATAAAATGGAGAGAAAACACCACAGTTTAGAGTTACAAGACTAGACTCTTAAGAAGAATCAAACCAGCACTTATTTGCTAGAGGCTCAATTTGTAGACAGTAAATGGGGCCTTGTTTAACTCTTGTCTCAATTTAACTTCCCATTAAGTCCCTGAATGCAATGGCTAAGGGTATAGTTTTAAATGTACTAAGGAATAAAAGCTTCATTGAACACAGTGACATAAATTCCTGCATAGGATTGTATCATGTGTAGTCATTATAAAGGGTAAATTACTGGGATCCATCTGGTTCCATCTGAAATTCAACCACCTTTTGGAAAACAAAAATAGGGCATTCACAACATATCACTACCAAATGGTACTATCCATAGTTTGCAAAATATGGATGGTAATTTGACCTGCCATAAATTGCAAACCCCGTGATGCTAGCAATTACCCATGACTATGCCTCTAAAATTTATATTGAAAGCAAGCAGCAGGAAACCTCAATATGCCTGAATGACATTCATATAGCTGGTCACCAAAGATCTGGCTGACCTTGGCAGTTTTTTAGAGCCTATATAGGGAACTTGTGATGAAAGTAATTTCTCCACTTAATTAAAGTGAGTCTATTATTTGATACCAAGGCTACAGGATCTTTTCTTGTACCCTTTTTTCAACTATAATTGCATATTGCTCTGAACCAAGCCAATATGTGCTATCAAGCCAATATGTATAACAATTTTTCAAGCCCTAAGTTTGTTATACATTTTTAGTATCTATCTGGGATTATTAGACCACTAAAAGGCCACAAGACAGTGGGTTGCATTTCAAGGATGTTGCTTATATACACAGTCAAGAAAGAATAGCATTCCACATTCTTTCTGAAAACCATCTACTTTAGGACCTTGAAGTATATATCATTTTTCTTCTCCAATACTTATGGCAGTGGCACGGTTTGAAATACACCTTTTTTTCTCAATTTGTTCTTGTTTCATTAACAATAGAAATTATATTGGATTGTGAGCCAAAAATGAAAATACCCCAAATTAATATGAATCACAATTTCACTATTTTTTTTTAAAAAAGGCAACTACTTAAACCTAAATATATATTTAAATCCATAATAGGAAATAAAATGAGCATTATAAGGCAATTTTTGTAAAAAAAAAGGCTATAAAATATGCATTCCATTCTAGGAAAATCGACAGTACATAACTGCAGTCTAATCAGGACATGTCATTAAAAAGTGGAGGGTATTGCTGATGGTAGCCCACTGCAGTATGCCTCCTTCAGGTTTTTCATTGCATGTTCAACTGTGATTTAAAATGTTCCCAAATTTATCTTTGTGAACATACAAGGAATACATGCTATTAGTGTTCTAACTGTTCAAAAAACAATGCATCCCACATTGTATAGGTCCTAGTGAAATATTGCAAAGGCACTGACAGAATTGAAATTCCATTTCAGTTTAATTTAAAAATAAATACTTAACATAATTAAGTAGCATACTGGGCTATCTATATGTTATCTACACTTATATTTTGGCCATCCTAGAATGATTTTGACTGTCCTAAAATGATCTCTTCCAGCTATGGATTTGATTTGCCACCCATGGAATCACTTCTGAAAGTGAAGCTATTTTAAAGTGAAAAGTCTTTTATATTGCTTATCTTAACATCGGGCCACTAATGCTGGATGCAGAGTAGGGCGGTTTGAAATGCTGCTACCATCTAAAAAGATTCAGATGCTTTTGCACAAAAATATATTTGTTATTGTGAGATGGAACAATATGTCGGTTGTAATGCATAACCTTTGTATGTTTTTTTTAAATTAAAATATTAAATAGCCTGATCCAACCTGTCTAAACTGATAGATTTTTGGGTGGAATGGGGGCTTAGATATTCTACACATTATTCCTACACACCAACACTTTATTTTTTTTTAACCTACATCCCCTCCAATATATTATGTAGAGTTAAGATGCATTTTTTAGAAACGCTTTGGAGGAAAACAATGCTACATACTTGTTATTTCCTTATTTTAGCTAACCTGTCCTCATGCTTTATGCAAGTAAATTTTCCCTTCTGTTTCTTCTCATTACATCCTCCTTGTTGTATTAAAACTGTTCTAGGAAGTCCCTGAATCTTCCAGAGCAAAGTAGGGCAAGAAGCAATGGGTGGAAGCTCATCAAAGAGAGAACAACCTGGAACTAAGGAGAAATTTTCTGACAGAAAGATTAATCAGTGGAACAGATTGCCTCCCAGAGGTGTGAGTGCTCCATCACTGGAGGTTTTCAAGAAAAAAATTGGACAACCATTTGTCCAGAATAGTATAAGGTCTCCTGCCTTAGGCAGTGGCTTGGACTAGAAGACTTCCGAATAGGGTCTCATTCTAGAAAAAGTAGCTCAATAATGGATGACAATGACAGAAGCATCCTATTCATTGAAAATGATAGGGAGAACCATTAACATTCTTTTATTTTGCTTTAGAAGATCTATAAGCCATCCAAAAGAATAGGTTGATTGTCACTCCTGTATCTTTTATGAAACCGAGTTATGATACCAAGTTATGATAATGACCTTCTGCAGAGTTTTATGTTTAGTTTTCTATCGCCATTAAGCATAGTCTATAGTTGAGAGACCAGAAGTGACCATCCACATTGGACAAATTATAGACTATAGAATATCTTGAAATATATAAAGGACAAAAAAGGTTCAGCACTACATTTTGCATATTTGATCTTGGTAGTTATGATTCCAACTAGCTGGTTCAATTGACCAAATATTGCATGTTTAACATCTGAATAAAAAATGCAAAATAAAGGCTTAAAGTGGAAATATTTTCCCCAATAGCTACCCAATTAATGGAAATTCCTTTTTCCTTCGCAGCAACCCATTTTCTTGTCTAAACAGTTGAATGATAACAGCTGTCACTTTATCAGCCAAAAATTAAAATAAATATTTGGACT